AAAGCATAAAATTTGAAAAACTACTGACTGAACTATGACTTTCTCGATTTCAAGGTCACTAGCATAAAAAAAAATATTCAACATTCAATGTTTGCATATTTTATAAGATAACAGTACTTACTAGATAAAATGGTCAATGATGGTAAAGAATTTTATTCTCATTAAAAATGATACTTTATCATCTGATCAATAATTATATCATTGTGGTTTCAACCTATTTTTGTTGTTCGCATTGAAATAGTTGAAACTAAAATAATTTGTCTTTTATTCACCAATTTTACAAGTTTCAATCTTCAAGTAGGTGGTTATTTTCAGGCAGAGTTTTGGAGGTTTTTGTGTTTTTACACATTTAAAATCATCAATCAGTCATTGTTAGACCACTCCATTAGAAACCCGGAAGCACTGATAGACGGCCGTTTCGTCCTGGTATGGGACTCATCAGTGGCAGTGCGCATCCACCACTCCTACACCTCGTAAGATTCAAACCCGGGACCTTCGGTGTTGATTATTGTTTGATGAGACTTACGATTTCATGGTAAATTTGGGTTTTAATACTTTTACTCACTTGCTTACTTACCTACTTACGCCTGTTAGCCCTAGTGAGACCATAAGCCGCTGACCAGCATTGGACAACCTACTTTATCCTAAGCCTTCCAATATCCAATATCTTTTTCACGTGCTATTGTAAACCAATTGATTTATTTGCGCTCGATTCTTGTTCTTTTGGTACGGTTCCAGGTGTTCGGTAGTGTCCAATGAATTTGGGGTCTAGCCACTCGACTGTCTAGTTCTAGTCAGTTGGTTGTGAGTTTGTATATCTCAGGATCTGAATGAAAATGTTTGTTACAGGGCAGTAGGGTTTCTGGATACCAGCAGCCATCACATTATCAGACCGGAGATCAGTTAGTTGCAATGTGGAGAGTAATAAGGGTAATAAGGATAAAATTAAAATGATGATATGAATAAAATTTCAAAACTGAGTAATATATAGGTGAATTTAGTTTAATAATCGGTGATGAAGATTGTGAGAGAGGACCGTAGTGTAAGCAAGTGTGGGGAACAGAGATGACAGGCGAAATAGATTAATTGAATGATCTGAGGGGATGGCAATGATACTAACTAGAAGGTCTCAACACATGCATCATGAACAGCTTGTCCAAGAGGGAGATGATAGTCCGTACGTGACTACGTGATTATCAAGTCTCTTCTTAAAGCAGTCTACTGAGGGGGCTTTGGTCACCTCGGCATGGAGAGCATTTTTAGGTTGTGACTACTCTTAGTGAGAAAAGCTGTGCACGAACATGAGTATTCGCTCTCTGATGTACAATCTTTCGAGGATCGCCTCGGGGGTAGTGGTGGTGATGCATCGTTAAGATGCTCACGTTGGGATTTTTTGGCGTGCTCAATATGTTGGCCTTCTTTTTCAGTTCAGTCTAATTAATGTTTATTCTTTGCACATCTGCTTCTAGTGTACTCGGCGTAATATGTTCTTTGGGTTTTTGCTTTTTCCTTTCGCCTTGAAGATTCCAAATGTAGGACTTTATGAAATAATTATCTACTATAGTTTATGAGTGAATGAATTATCCACTGAGCATTTTTTTTAATAACTAAATATGTCATAGGATCATCATTTGAACAAAGTTTTAAAGTGAGAAGTTTCGTTGTAAAATACACTATTTCCTGAACATCAAATCAATCATTTTGAATAACAGTCAACTTAACTTACATTTTAAGCCATTAGTAACAATATACACTTAGAGAATATGTTAACTAATTGACCTGATGGACTGATAGTAGAGTTCAACCCTGTTCAGGTGTAGGCAGTTACCAGCAGAAACAAATTAGTGAGGTAGCGCAAAAACCACTAGATTGAACAGAATTAGACATTAAAACCATTGGATGCTGTTTCAGGGGTCCGGAAGTTTAGCGTTCGTGTACAAAACCGAAGGTCCTGGGTTAGAATCCTTAACGTGGGTAACAGGAGTCATGGATGCGCACTGCTGATGAGTTGTCCCATACCAGGAAGAAACAGCCATCTTCCAGTGCTTCCATGTTTCCAATGCTGTGGTCTAACAATGATTCATTCATGGCTTCAAGGGCAGTCTATCGATGTTGAGAAATAACGTTGGGTCACCTTTTCTTTTAAAAAATCAGATAAATGATGAGGCTTTTTATCAAACATATTTTATCTAACAAAATGTTTCCATATTTTATAAGATTAATAAAATGAAATTATCAGTCCATCAGGTCAATCCTTTGCATATCTACTTCCAGTGAACTCGGCGTAATATGTTCTTTGGGTTTTGCTCTTTTCCTTTCGCCTTGAGGATTCCAAATGTAGGACTTTATGAAATAATTATGTACTACAGTTTATGAGTGAATTATTATGGAATGAGCATTTGATAAAAACTTCGCAGATGACCTGACTCTTGTATCGCACACGCAACAACAGATGCAAAAGAAGACGAGCAGTGTAGCAGCAGGTCTCAACATACATAAAAGAAAAAGCAAAATTCTCCGATGCAACACAACATACACCAACCAAATCACTCTTGATGGAGATGCCTTGGAGGAAGTTAACACATTTACATATATGGGCAGCATCATCGACAATCAAGGTGGATCCGATGCAGACGTGAGGGCATGGATCGGCAAAGCAAGGGCTGCATTTCTGCAGTTGAAAAACATCTGGAACTCCAAACAACTTTCAACCAAAACCAAAATCAGTATTTTCAATACAAATATCAGGACAGTTCTGCTGTGTGGAGCGGAAACTTGGAGGACTACGAAAGCCATCATCTAGAAGATACAAGTGTTTATTAACAGTTGTCTACGCAAAATACTTTGGGCTCGTTGGCCAGACACTATCAGCAACAACCGACTGTGGGAGAGAACAAACAAATTTTATCAAAGCTAAATATGTCGTGGGATCATAATCTAAACAGTACAGTTGGTCAGCTACGACTTACAACTTCGTACGTACCTACATCAGTTCAAGTCGCCATACCAGATTAACACACAGAAGCAGTAGAAGTATTAGCGGTAATCAAAAAGATCAAAGATATCATTCGAGAAGTATATCTTAGAGGAATCAATTTAAAAAAAGGGAGAAAATACAACGGTGATGAGAAATTTAGAAGATTATAATTCTAAAGAAGACAAAGAATGGACAATTAGCAGTCAGTCAGTCAGCTGCAACGTAAGAACTTCGTACGTATGTACATAAGTTCAGGTTGCCATACCACATTAGCACAGAGACACGCAAATGTCAAATCAAATCCCATAGTGATAAAGATAGTACAGGTATTAATGGTAATGAAGAAGACTAGGGTTCGAAGATATTATTCAAGAAGTAAAATTCGGAGAGATAAATTTAGAAAGAGAAAGGTAGAGGTGGTGACGGATCCAGAAGACTAGGATTTGAGAGAGCTCAACGAATGGATGCACCTGCGCCATTGCAAACGATTTTGAGCCATGTCGTTCAATGTCTCTAACCATTGGTGACTTTCGTCTCGCGGACCCCAACCAGGTAGTCTACATCTACCAACATGATTCAGTTCACTTGTCAGTGACTTCATGGATTTCTGCCATGTTTTGGTTTGGCCACCCCTGGCATTCTTCCAATCTACACCTACACTGCAAAACATAGCTCGTCGAGGCAGTTGGTGGTTAGACATGCGTCGTGACACATGTCCCAACCACCTCAACTGATGAAGTTTCACTACTTCATCTATTGATTTGCCATCCTTACCTAGAACTCGTTTCCTAACGAAAGCATTGCTTATACGGTTGTCCCATGATACACGAGCAATGCTTCGGATACACCTATGATCGAATATTAGTAACCTACGAACATCTTCTACTCTTAAATGGACAATCAGCGGTTGAGATCAATTAGTTAAGATTACGTTCATCTCTCAAATTTTACCTAAGATCTCAGTCAATTTCACTGCTAAGACCGAATCACCATCCTTAAAGTCAATCGATCACAGCCTGCTGCTCTCCCTCGCTTAAGATTTCCTATAGCCTTTTCAACTTCATTAAGAATTAGAGGATTTACATCAACTTGCCACTCAGGTTGATAGGGATCGTGTGTAATCGAAGGGTGACTAAAGACCGGTTGAACTGATCCCTAAAATATTCCGCTGATCTATCCAATCTCCCGGATTGAGATAGTTTCACATACAATCAGATTCCTAATTCCAGTTTCCTCGATAAGTTTGTCTAGTGTTACCTATCACCACTGCCTGTCTCATTCATCTCTCTCGCTTTTGCTATCCACCACAATGTTTGCGATCATTACAGAGTTAGACATTAACACCGTTGGATGCTGGCCCAGTGGTCCAATGGTTAAGCGTTCGCGCACAATACCGACGGTCCCGAGTTCGAATCCTGCGAGGGGCAGGAGTCGTGGATGCACACTGCTGATGAGTCCCATACCAGGACGAAACGGCCGTCCAATGCTTCCAGGTTTCTAATGGTATGGTCTAACAATGATTGATTGATGATTTCAAATGAGGAAAAAACACAAACCTCCAAAACTCTGCCCCAAAACATTACATAAGCTTCACATCAGCTTACACCTAAACTGACTCCGCGCCTTATATCGTATTGCAAATTCAGTGCCAAATTTTCTGGTATGATGCATCAATAAAATTGCACAATTTACCTCATCTTAATTTAAATAATCATGCAACTAACTATTCACTGGAAATTGTTCGTTTTTTTCTAATGAAATCCAAAGAAAAAAAAATCTCTTTCTAAGGTTTATTATATTCAACACATCAATTATTTTTTTTTCGTATGCTACACTAAAATATTTGAACATTGAATACAGAACTGTAGGATTATTATTTGTTATGTACGAGCTTCAATGAACCAATAAATTTTGTTCAATGTTCAAACAATACAGCCCATCTCTTGATGAATTTGATTTACCTATAAATATTAATTTGTAGTATTATAATATATATGTATGTTTATAAGATTTCTAATGTCAGCCTTGTTCAATTCTACTACTACTACTATGTGCACACTTCTCATGATAACACATTTAATTTATGTTTATAGGTAATAGAAATTAGGTAGTGAAAAAAAAAACTATATATTTGCATTATTTAAATAACTATTTTACACTTGAACCGATCATTATCAATTTGATTGGTTAGTAAATAGTAAGAGTTGTATAATTCAACTGACATTACCAATCTGTAACTGATTTATTGATTTGAACTAGCCGATCAATTGTTCGTTTGCAGTAAGTGTTATGAAGATGATAGTTTTTTATCTTGAAATCAAGAATGAATTATTGATCGAATACGCCATTGGAAACCTGGCTGTTTCGTCTTGGTATGGAACAACTCATCAGCAGTGAGCATCTATGACCCCTGTTACTACTCGCAGGATTCAAACTCATGGCTTTCGATCAAGCGCTCGATCGCCTAACCTCCTCTGTATAATGTACTCACTAGTGGTGACTAGCTTCGTGAGAAAATTCTCGGAGTTCCAATGAGAAGACAAATTGTAGTAAAAAAAACACCCATATTGATCAGAGTTAGACATTATCAAGTTGGATGCTGACCCAGTAGTTCAGAGATTAGGCGTTCGCACTTCCGGGGCTGGAATCCTGTGAGTAGCAGGAGTCAAGGATGGGCATTGTCACTGATGAGTTGCATATCAGAACGAAACGACAGTCATTCAGTGCTTCCAGGTTCCAAATGGTGTGGTCTAACAATGATTCATTCATGCCTTCAAGGTAATCTATCAGTGTTGAGCAACATTTTTGGGTCAGCCTTCTTTTCATCCATCAAGTGTGATACAGATTTTAATCAAACATATTTTTTATCTAATGAAATGCATTCATATTTGATAAGATTATTCAAAATGACAATATCAGTCTATCAGGTCAATTAGTTAATGTATTTTCTAGGTGTATATTGTTTATAAATGGCTTATTATGTAAGTTAAGTGAACTGTTATTCATAATGATCGATTTGATGTTCATACGAGTAGTTTTGAAATCAGGTTAAAAAAAAACATGTTCTTTCTCACATTGTTTCGCCCACTTTTCTTCCTCTTCTTCAAACTAATCGTTTGATCATAAGCAAATATCCTAAGATAATTGTTTGTAAGTCTAATTCTATTGGTCAACCTAACTGTCAGTGTCACAGATTTCAAATTTCGTACCCTATTCGACCTAACTATATAAATACGCATTATCTGCAATAGTTTATGACCCGGATCCTTAGTCCGGGATCCTTAGCGCTCTTCTGGACTCGGACGTCGTACTTTCTTGGCGCTTGTAGAATACATGTTCTTCTTCATATCAAGTTTTCTTCTTTTACTCAATGGGGGTTTGGGACGTTTGGATTAGAGTAGCCTGTTGTGTTGGCCGATTCCTCGATCCTCGCTCTCATTTTCCGACTAAGGTAAACTCGTAATAGTTCAAGCACAGCCAATAACGTGTTTACGTGCATGCGTAACACGTGTTCAATTTATAAAGCATTGGTCTGTAGCGTTCACAAACTTTGTCAATCAATGTTCAATTACATATTCGTTAAAATTAATTTATAGAAATAATTAATCTGTCACAAATATAATTAATAATCCTAATAGTGACAGGGCTTGCCGTACTCTCTCTCTCTCTCTCTCTCTCTATATATATATATATATATATATATATCTTCTATTTGTACATTCTTAAAGCTTTGTTGTACTATATATCAGTATTCGTGAATAAACAATTAAAGTGTTAGAAATATTGAAATTATATGGAAGCAATTTTTTCACATTGACAAGTTAGACATTAACACCGTTAGATACCGGTTCAGAGGTCCGATGATTAGGCGTTCGCCTACAATACCAAAGGTCCTCGGTTCGAATCCTGCGGGGTGCAGGAGTCGTGGATGCGCACTGCTGATGAGCTAGTCCCATACCAGGACGAAACGGCCGTCTTTCAGTGCTTCCAGGTTTCTACTGGTGTGGTCTAACATTGATCGATTCATGGTTTCAAAAATGTGTAACTTAACAATCTTCACAACCCTGTAATGCAAATAAATATTTTGTTTAAAAAGTACAAAATTAATTAGAACAACACACATATCAGCCAGCGAACAATTTTGTTTCTAATGAGATTGTCATTAGGCTTTACTTTGTTATTGTATTTTAATTATTCTTACTACTATCAATGTGAGCAGTCTTTTCTATGAAAACTATCGACCTGCACTTTTATCTAGTGTAATGTGCAATTACACATAGTCTATTTCATGGCGATTATTGACTCATAATAAATTATCCTGATTGGTTTAAATATTTTCATATAAAAATATTCGTGCATATAAGAGTATTAAACTTGATGACAATCTATGGGCTCATTTATTTTCCTATGTACATTTTAATCCCGTTTATTCATTGACTGACTCGCTTGTTTGCTCTTCAGCACTAGCATTTCATTTTGCTTCATGTGCCTATGGTGTTTTTCTGAGGTTTGTTGTAGTGCGACAATGAAACTCATTCAACGCTTCGTATTCTTTAGGTGTTATCTAATAGCGGTGATCAGAATGATCAAGAGTATTAAACTTGATGACGATCTTATCCCACATGCAACAACAAATGCAAGAGAAGACTGCCAATGTAGCAGCAGCCTCACCAACAGTAGGTCACAACATACATAAAGGGGAAAGCAAGATTCTCCGACACTACACCACATGCAACAACCAAACCACACTTGATGGAAAACATTTAGAATATGTAAAAGCCTCTCCATATCTGGGCAGCACCAGTGATCAGTATGGTGGATCTGATGCAGATGTGAAGGTGAGGATCGGAAAAGCAAGGGAAGCATTTCTACAAATGAAGAACATTCACAACTCAAAACTATTATCAACCAACACTAAAGTCAGAATTTTCAATACATATGTCAAGACATTTCTACTGTATGGTGGTTGAACTTGGAGACCTACGAAAGCCATCATCCAGCGTTTATCAACAGTTGTTTCAGGATAATACTTCAGATCCGTTGGTCAGACATAATCAGCAACATCCTGCTGTGGGAAAGAACAAACTAGATCCCAGCAGGGGAAGAAATCAGAAAGAAGTGCTGGAAAGTAGATAGAACACACATCGAGGAAATAACTCAACTGTGTTACAAGGTAGGCCCTCACTTGGAACCCTCAAGGTCAAAGGGAAAAAGGAAAACCAAAGAACATATTACGCCGAGAACTGGAGATAGACATGAGAAGAATGAACAGACATCTGACAGAACTAGAAAGGCAGGTTCAGGAGCGGCCAAACCAAAACATGGCACAAATACATGAAGTCACTGACAAGTGGATTGCGTCATGTTGGTAGGTGTAGACTATATGGTTGGGGCACACAAGATGATAGTAATCGATGGTTAGCTAACCTAAATGACATGACTCAAAACCGTTTGCAATAACTCAGGTGCATCCGCTCTGTGTGTTCTCTCAAATCCTAACCTTCTGAATTCCTCGTCACCTCTATCTTTCTGTTTTTAAGTTTTTTTCACTAGATTCTACATCTTGAATAATATCCTTGAACCATAATCTCTCCGATTACTGCTAATACTGCCAATACTAACTTTTCTACTATGGTCTGTGTAGTAATGTGGTATAGTAACTTGAAGTGATGTATGTATGTACGAAGTTCTACGTTGCTGTTGATTGGTTGGTTGATTTAATCCCATGCTCTCTAGTAATGAACTTCAAGATATAGTACTGTAACTCCCAGTGAGAAGCTTTGGTCATTAGAGTTTGACTATATCAAGTATGATATAATTTTCCACCGCATACAATGCAAGATGTTCTCACACTGTTGCAAACTGAGGTCCCTAGGTCTGACTCTCGAGAAGCTCGTCCATACATACCGTTGAGGAGATCCATTGTAGGGTGAAGCAACTGCAAATCGCCTCCTAATTTTCAGCATCAGGCCTACTTATTCCAGCGCATTATATGAACTACGATAATCTATCTATCGCTACAAACCTATATCGTTATATCATTTTTACACATTTGAAATCATTAATCAATCATTGCTGGACCACCGTTAGAAACCTGCAAGCACTGGACGGTCGTTTTGTCCTGGTATGGAACTCGTCAGAAGTGCACACCCACGACTCTTGCACCTTACAAGGATTCAAACCCAAGACCTTCGGTTTTGTTCGCAAACGCCCAACCTTCGGACCACTGGGCCGGCATTCAACGCTGTTAATGTCACAAAGCTAGTCACTAGTGAGCACATTTTACGATATTTTTCAATTAGAGATCAGTCTCATATCAGTGTAGTGAAGGAGAACACAGGTGAGCGCAACCGAATTGTATTTAACGAAAATTACAGAGTTACTCAGTAAAATGGGAAAACCATATCGTAACCGTTAATTTGCAAATCTTCAATCAATCATCAATCCATTGTCTGACATTTCACTATTCATGCGTTTCATACAAACTCGATTGTGTTCTTCTAACTCTTCCTTTCTTGATGTTCCCCCCATCTTCTGCTGCCAGACATTACGTTGACACTCACGTCATACACTTCTTATAAGTAGCGCGCACCACACCAGGACGAAACAGCCGTCTTTTAGTGCTTCCAAGTTTCTAATGGTGTATAGTCTCTAACAGTGATTGATTAATGATTTCAAATGTGTAAAAAAAATACTAATCTCTTGAAAAAATATCATTTTTTATAACTTATCTAATCTAGACACCTAGATTTATTTTAAATTATTTTTTTTTTAAAAAAAAAAAATTGATATTTACTTGATTATAACAATAAATTGTTTGTTTTTTTTAAAAAAAAATGAAAGAATTCAAGTTTTGACAACAAAAAAAAAATAACCCCATAAATCTAAGTTACTGCTATTATTTAGTAATAATAACATTGTGAAAGCGAGAAGAGAAAAAATTTTTGTTAAGTTCAAATGATAAAATTGAACTCTAATTAGTGTTATAGTGCAATGACATAAATAAATATTTCAGTAGGTTTGTATGATTTGATGAATTCCGTGTAGTAGTAATATAAAGAACAACACTCTGCAGTAGTTTATCATGAAAAAT